TGAAGGGCCGAAGAACCTGGAAGGGCGACAACTGTTGTTTTATAGATATCATTATGCATGTGTCCATATGAAACTAAATATATACATATACAGATATACATATGACGAAACATTACATAAAATCATATTTCATCGATACACACCGACCTACCTATCTACCTACCTACCTACCTACCTACCTACCTACCTGCCTGCCTGCCTGCCTGCCTACGTACATACGTACATACGTACGTACCTACGTATGTACTTACTTACTTATACACACACACACACACACACCCACACACACCCACACCCACACACACCCACACCCACACATACCCACACACACACACACGCACCTGTACAACGGTTCCTCTTCCTGGCACCTGACCCCTGCGGCTGCATGTCTGGGCAAGGACGTCGGTCCCAAGAAGGTGCGGCCGCAGGCGGCACTCGAGAACCAGCCTCCTGTGGACAGGTTTGTAGGGGCACCCGTTAACATATTATACGATCCTAAACTATGACTACTGTACAGCAATCACATATAGGATACTATAAAATAACTTCACAGATTATTGGGATAGGAAGTCATACGGCTGCTGAAAGAGCTGCTATGGTGTGCTAATCGTAGGGCTTTGCTTGGCGTTGGCACGCTGGGACCGTCACCTCCATTATTCCGTTTTAATGACACGAAAAAACAAGTGCATTCATTGAGGGAGTAGCTACAGGGGTCTATCATGCATGATTAATGTCTCTGTTTTCCGATATTACCAGCTGCGCCAGCACAGGGGTTGCAGGCGATTCGTTTGGGGTTTAGGGTTTAGGGCCTTAGGGATTAGGGTTTAGGGTTTAATCTGAAATTGGACCTGGACACCAAACTCGACTAGGCTTACCAAAGGTGTCTTGCATACAACTGTGGAGACGAACTTCGATAACCGCCGAGTTAAGCCCACACCCTGGCGAGTGGTCCTTCGTCCTGAACCCCATACACCCTTCTTTTGGGTCTAGGGTTTAGGGAACCATACACCCTTCTTTGAGCAGGGACTGCACCCTAAACCCTAAACCCTTAATGCCTGCATCCAAACCCCTAAACCCTCAAGGCACCCTAAACCCTAAACCCTTAAGGCCTGAATCCAAACCCCTAAACCCTCAATGCACCCTAAACCCTAAGCCCTTAAGGCCTGAATCCAAACCCCTAGACCCTCAATGCACCCTAAACCCTCTAGACCCTAAACCCTACACCCTAAACCCTTAAACCCTTAAGGCCTGAATCCAAACCCCACATCCAGATGCATCCGGCTGGCCGGCCGGTTGGATGCGGACAGATCGCGAGTCTTATAGACCTGTACGGTTTAGGGTTTAGGGTTTAGGGTTTAGGGTTTAGGGTTTAGGGTTTAGAGTTTAAAGTTTTACGGTTTAGGGGCTCGTGAGGCTCATGATTTTGGGGCTCATGTCTGCTGGCTTCACCACCATGGAGCTATTTTTTGAAACCGATTTCCTGCAACTGCACCCCTAAGCCAATACAAGGTGACCCTTTCTTGAATCTCGCAGCACTTTCCAACCCTAAACAGGCCTGAAGTCTGTCAGACACTGCCTCCGCCTCGGGGGAAACTGAGTCCAAGTCGCTGTCCTCAGCGCAGGTCGTTCGTGGTGTTCAAGGGTTCAGGGTTTATCGGGTTTAGGCATTTAGGTCCCTTTGCAGTTGCTCGCCCCACGCGTAACTGACAGGTTCTGCCATACGTGATTTGGACTGTAGGGTTGAAAAACGGAGGATTTGACCTGGTGCAGTGTGTTCGGTCTTCTCTCGGACTCTGCGAAGCTGTGGTACTAGGAATGGGTTGAAATCATGGAGCCACTGAACCCTAAACCCGTTGACTGGGCTTTTTCAGTGGTTATGAAGTTTTAGGCAGGAGTAGCAATACAGAGGCCTCTAGATTTAGAACACGGCTTTTAGTAGCAAATTCAGGCCCTGATAGCTTGTAACCATCCCAAGCATCACAACACAGAGTGCATGCAGGACATGTGTACATAAATGCTTGAAGCCGAGCCGCAACAAGAGGAACAACACACGCCGCGTCGGCTCAACCATTATCACAAGCAGTACAGTTACTACGGCATCGTAGTCCTAATCTATACTTGGCAGAAGAAGAATCGTCGTCCACGAAAGGGTTCCAAAAGGAACCACAGCTGCTGGTGTCGTCGCCGAGAAACACCACATGCGGGGTGCCATGCTCCTCAGATACTCTTCATGTTCGTGGGAGAACGTGAGGCAATGTCCCAAGAGGACCCACAGTCCTCCAGCCTGAAACCCTTGAAAGTATTACACCCTGAATACCATACAATACCCTATAAAACCCTCGACCCAAACCCTATATCCTAAATTATTGCCTAAATATCGTAAACTCGTCTAACATGCCCAGCGACGGCTAAAGCGGTTTTCAAACGGCCCTCCATCTGGGAGCCTCGCACAGTGGATTCCGACCACTGGTGCGAGATCCCAGTGCAAGCCTCAGCCTCGGGTCTGTTCGGATTTAGGTCGTTGAGGTGGTCTGGGCTTTTATTAAGGTTTAGGGTGTAGGATTTAGGGTTTAGGGTTTAGGGTTTAGGTATGGGTCCAGGTTGAAGAAAGACAAGGGTTTAGGGGTCATGTGGCTTCGGGCTTTTTGCAGGGGTTAAAGCAAAACGATGAAGAACTGAATCCTGGCTGCCACTGATAAGAATGTCTCCATATTGGGATCGTACTAATCAAGCATAAACAACGCAGGTGGATTCCTGAATTAAGGAATATACCCTACATGTCCTTGAATCGTATCAGGCATCCTACTATAAATGAAGGTATAGCAGGGTTGAGGACAGAAGAGAGACCATCCGAAACCTAAAACTCAACGACTCTAAACCCGAAGTCCTAAACGTTAACACCCTGAACGCTCAGACCCTAAACTCGAAAGTCCTAAGTCTTCAACAACCCTGAAACAGAACATACATGAATCCATATTGTGCCGGGCACGGTTTAGGGTTTAGGGTATAGGACAGCCAGACTCGCCAACCGCACGACTCACCCCCATGCTCACCCCTGAAATACAGCCGTGTCAGTCACATCAGTGCATAAGACCCGAAAGACTATCCGATACCTGTCCTATACCGGTCCTGCAGCAGAAAAGCTGCAGAACATCAGGTTAATCCCGAAACCCTTTATAGTTAAAGCACTAAAACACGAGCTTTAATGAACCAGCCCTGGTTCAGAAGGGAACTCTTCACTCGCATCAGAAATCCATCTAGCTGCTACCGGCCAACACCCTTCTCTATACCCTCGCTCTCTCTGTCTCTCTCTCTCTCTCTCTCTCTCTCTCGCCCGGGTATTCGAAACGTCAAGCCCAAACCCCAAACCCCTAAAGAATTGTGATAGATTTTCTTTTCATACCAAGAGGCTGTGCTTTGAGACCCGGCGCTCTCCACATCTGCCGGCCGTGACAGTTTCTCCATGTCGCCGGGTCTTCTGCGGGTCTGCGCCACGGGTTTCCGAACTCGACGTTCCAGGACTGTTTGCAAGCCGTGAACCGGAAGAGAACACTATGAAGATACAGAGGTTCTTACTTAATAAGAGCAACTCTGAAGTAATCATGAAAGCTAAGTAGACAGTACACCCCTGAACCTGCTAATTTGAACCTATGTCCGGAACGCCGAGTCCGTCAAGAGATCCAGCCTCAAGAGGCAACTCAGGCGCAGCTGGGCGATTGGCCCTGCTCTGATGTCACTTTGCTAAACAGACTCAAATCAAATTCAGCTTTGAGCCATGGTGGCTGATGCAAAGGTATCGGGTTCAGTGCTGAAGCTGTTGGGCCCCCGGAGATTGGGATTACCGAGTTCCCTAAACCCTAAACCCTATAAACCCTAAACCCTAAACCTAGGGTTTAGGTTTTGGGGTGCTGATACCTCGGATATGACGGTCCTTATTATAAGCCGGATGCCGGCACCCTGAGCTAACTAGGGTTTAGGGTTTAGGGTCCACCCGATTTTTAGTGGGCTATGAGTACATTCGTAATTTGGGTGAGAACTCCCCTCTAACCTCCGGGCAGAGACAGGACAAAGTCTAGTAAGGGGTTTAGGGTTTAGGGTTTCCCAATCCACTCCAATTTGGAGGACTCCAGAAAGCTCCGGAACTCCAATCGGGGAAAAGCAATGCCGAGAATATCCAAGAATCCGTGAAACAAACACCCATAGCCCTGTTGGGGTTACCGTATAGGATTCTATATATGAACCCCAAAAGGAACTACTTTAGGGCCTATGGGTACAGTCAAATAAACGAACGCACTGAAAACCCTCTTGTGCAACCCATCTACGCAGTATCCCGTACAGTGCGCTTTATGGTTTCTACCTCTCGCCTTTTGCCACGTGCTCCGGGCCGCCGTTGGTATGCGTCCCGGTGTAGGTGCTCCTGGGGTAAAGTGTTTTCACATATGGGGGTTTCCGAAAATAGGGGACCCTAATATAGTACCCCAAATAATAGGATCCTTATTATGAGGACCCCAAAATAAGGTACGCCTAATTTTCGGAAACTCCCACATAAACTGCGAGACCCGAAGCTCAAGGAGCCCCCCAAAAAAGATAAAACCACGCAGCCGAAGCCCCAAAACCCAAAACCCCAAAACCCTGAACCCAAACAGAAGGTATAGGTTATCATCCCCTAATAACCCCGGGGTATGGCCTAAGCTCGAACCAAAAACCCGAATTAGGGTTTAGGGTTCAAGGTTTAGGGTTTAGGTCTCAAGGTTTAGGGTCTAGGGTTTAAGGTTTAAGGTTTATAGGGTTTAAGGTTTAAGGTTTAGGGTTTATGGTTTAGGGTTCCAGGTTTAGGGTTTAGGGTTTAAGGTTTAAGGTTTAGGGTTTAGGGTTCAAGGTTTAGGGTTTACGGTTCAAGGTTTAGGGTTCAGGGTTTCAGGTTTAAGGGTTAGGGTTTAGGGTTTAAGGCTTAGGGTTTAGGGTTTAGAGGCCCTAAACCCACCCCCTGAGGATCCAGCGAATGGCGCTTCAGTCGGCGCTCGCTGGCGTGTCGCCGCCCAGCGTGCGTAGTAGCTCTCGTGGGTCTTCAAGGAAACCTTTAGTCGATGGTTTATGGTTTAGGGTTTAGTCGATCTCTTGGCACTTCGGATTTGTTCACTTTTACGGCTCTACCTGACATTGAGGTTTAGGGTTTCAGGAGTTGTCGGATTTGTTCACGTTTACGTCTCAATCTATAGATTTGAGGTTTAGGGTTTTTGGAGTTGTGGGAAGTACAAGATTTGGGGCCATTCAGACTTTAAGACAATGAGCATGAGGACTTGGAGTGTTTCGGCCTTTATCACGAAGTGTAGGATTTCAACATAACGGGTGATAAATACACAATCTGATAATGGCTTTAGGGCTTGGGCCCGGATTTTGGCCTTAGGTGACCAGTGAAACAGCAAAATAAACAGAACTCCCAGAGGAAATCAGAAAACCCGAATTGAATCACTCCCCCGCCCCTTATACTGAGCCGTCCACTGCTTCGGCTTTACAGAGGGACAACTTATCCCTTCCCCGGAGACAGCTGGAAGCTTCCGCTAGATATAGACCCCAAAGTATTGCAGGATCCTCATCTCGAGCAAGCCGACTGAAGGTACGCCGAGGGCGGTGCGAAAGGAAAGTCGTCTTCGAAGTGACCCGTCCTGTGTCGAATCCTACCAAGAGCCCCTTTAGCCACCGGTAGTCTCTGAGACATATGGGGTGCTAAAACCCATGAAGCATCGTGAAGCTATTTGAGGAAAAACGGTTCAATGATTCTGCTTCGTATAGAACGACTTCAGAGGTTAGGGCTCTATCTTTGCTTAGGAGCTGTACACCCCACATACATATATATATATATAGATAATACTTAGGCATTCAAGTACCTATCCTGGAACCTCTTTCCTCTAACGCCAAAGTACAAACCATATAGGCACATGGAACCATACTTCAAGGATCATGGGACTTAGTAAGTAGGGTTATAACTGAGGTAACTATACTTATTATAACCCCAATTAAAGGACTTATAACCTTACTTACTAAGTCCCATGATCCTCCAACTACCCTAAACCCTAAACCCTAAACCCCTAAACCTTATGTACTAAGTCCCATGATCCTCCAAGTAGGGAGTTTCAGGCTATGAGAGATCGTGGCAGCAAGCGGCTCCGGGTCGGCCTGTTTCGCTGAAGGTGCCGGAAGAAGTCCTGGGAGCAGTAAATAGGGTTTAGGCTTGAGGGTCTAGGGTCAGGGGTTAGGGTTTAGGGATGAGGGTTTAGGGTTGAGGGATGAAGGTTTAGGGTTGAGGGTTTAGGGATGAGGGTTTAGGGCCTAGGTTTAGATGGGTTCAGCGAACGTCTGAAAAGGCTCAGTCCAGACCCTAAACTGTGTGAGCCCTGAGACCGCATCTCGAAGGCTAAACTGAACAAGACTGCCAGAATTCCCTAACCCTGAAGGTACCTACTATATAGGGCCTTAGGGGCTCTAGTACCCTATATAGTAGGTACCTGGGGGGTTAGGGAGTTATACAACCCCAAAGCCATAAACCCTAGATCATCAATTTTGTTTGCATTTGGAGACGTCAGAGCACGACCGTGCCAGTGCCACTTCGCTAAGAGTTATAATATTTACCAAACCACGGACCCAAGTCAAGCGTCGTCCACGACCTTTGCGTGGCGCATCTGCCCGAATCGCTCGTTCGGTCGGTCAAGCTCCAAGCGCCATAAGGCACCCTGCAAAGGATACCGGGTCTTGTTCGCATAAAGCTCGCGCGTCACTACCACCGCACATGCGACCAAGCACAAACAGACACTGAGAGACACAAACACACACACACACATACATATATATATATATATATATATATATGTATATATACATATATATATATATATATACCCATGCATACCTGCGTTATGGCTCTAGGTACATGTTTGCTCATGATGAATCATGCAAAGGTACTTGAATGTATGCCTGGCATATACGTGATGCAAACCATTTTCACAAGTGCTCAGTATACTTGCAAACTTCCATCGCGCTTACAGCGGAACATGCATACCTGTGTTGATGCCGTATACATGCACGTGCCATACATGTAAACATGTGCATACTCATGAAGAAGGTTACTCTATTTGGGAGGTTCGACCCTGTTGCGACGTCAGTGTCGGAAGTGCATCGGGTCGAGGGTGCAAAGATTCAACCCTAAACCCTGAACCCTAAACCCTAAACCCTGAACCCTAAACCCTAAACCCTAAACCCTGAACCCTAAACCCTTAAACCCTAAACCCTAAAAACCTGGAACCTTCGGTTTTGATCCTGAATCCTGAATTCGAATCGGACCGTCCGAGCGAGTTCCGGGACCAAAGTAAGGGCGAAAGTTGCTACCACCACCGCAAAGACTTTAGGAGACGTCCGTAAGTGGTCCTGCCTTCTCATCGACTTCCCAGAAGAATCTTCGCTGCCGATTCAGCTCGTCCGAAGGATCCCGGAATGGCGCATCCC